GTTTTTTTTTTTTTAAAAAAAAAAAAAAAAAAAAAAGGTTTTGTATGCTAATTGTGTTCATTCTTGAATGTAGCCGACTGGACACAAGATACGCACTAATGCAACATTTAATTTACGCACAGATATAAATTCTCAAAGCTGCACTTGAAAACGTTTCCTTCGGGTAATGCAAATTTAGTTTCACACAGAAAGACCCAGGCTGACCCAGCCTCATTTGTCTTGTCTTGATGTGGATCTCTCGGGGACTGTTGTAATTCTATCTAGGTGTGATTGCAAAGAAAACACTCTGTGGGTGAGGCTCGTGTGAAGAATATCCTCACAGATATAGACGCCTACCAAACTCTTAATGCACACTAACTCTGCTTTACTTGCCGTTTGTGCTTGTATGTAATCACACGTTTGCAGAAGTTTCTTACAGGCATACAGTAGCTCACTGTGGAGAGAATATGCATACATGTTCATGGATTTTGGGTCATTGATAAAACCTTTTTTTCCTCTTGATTCATTTATTCATAAATACAGATACAGATAATGACTTAAGTTCACCTCTTCTCATATATGTTTCATACATGGACATGAAGGTCTGTAACTTGGTGGATGTAACCTAATACTGAATATTAAAGGAGTAGTTCACTTCCAGAATGAAAATTCTGTCGTCATTTACTCGCCCTCCTCTTGTTCCAAACCTGTATGAGTTTCTTTCTTCTGTAGAACACAAAAGAAGATATTTTGAAGAATGTTGGTATCTGAACAGTTGATGGGCACTGTTGAATTCCATAGTATTTTTGTTTCCTAATATGAAAGTCAATGGTGCCCATCAACTGTTCGGATACCAACATTCTTCAAAATATCATCTTTTGTGTTCAACAGAAGAAAGAAACTCATACAGGTTTGGAACAAGTGGAGGGTGAGTAAAGGATGACAGAATTTTCATTCTGGAAGTGAACTACTTAAGAGTTATTTTATCAAAGTTTTGACATGCTGTTATCATGTTTGTAGCATGTTTCAGCACATTATAGCATGTCCTAAGCTAGGATTTTTTTGTGATGGATAAATATACAGATACAACACTGTAAGAATTATTGTGTGAAAGTTTTGACTACTTAATTGAAAGGGATTTTTTTTGTTGTTTTTTTGTAGATTTGAAAGATAGCATACAGTCATAACATCCTGAAGGTCTGAGTTGAGTTTGGTGGTCATAGCTTGAAATTTCTAGGGGTTATTCTCAGAAGAAGTAGAAGAAGAAGCTTAAACAGTAGATCAGTAAGTTGGATTTGTCAAGTGAATGTTTCTGTGATGCGCCGCTGTATTTTCAGCATCATTACTCCAGTCTTCAGTGTCACATGATCTTCAGAAATCATTCTAATATGCTGATTTGCTCCTCAACAAACATTTCTGATTACTAAACAGTTGTGCTGCCCAATATTTGTGTGGAAACCGTGTTTCATTTTATTTTTCAGGATTCTTTTATAACATTTGTAACTTTTTTTTTTTTTTACCTAAACTTTTGAATGGTAGTGTATATACACCAGCTAGTGATAATGTATGATATTTTGTGATGATAAAATGATGAAATACCAACAACACATTACAACATTGATGATACCGTGATGATAAAATCTATGATGGTCTAACCAAGATTACACACGGTAGTATTTCTCACATGGTAGTTGTGGTGAGATAATCACTACTGATGCCTTGCTATGTTGGTCTGTTATCTGTGTTTGTGTCATATCCACAGTTCAAGTTCTCATATATGAGTGCATAAAAGTGAGACAGTGCATGTGTTCACCTCAAAAAGATCTTGAGATAGTATGAGCAAAACCTTGTGCTTGCTGCACAGCTCTTTTCCTGTCAGTCACTGCTCGTGGCAGTCTTTGAAGCTGAATGCATGTACCTGTAGAACTTCTGACTGACACGTCTTCAAAGCCTTTCCGATGTACTTACTCCTAAGTGCACAAATATGTCATTATATGCAGGAACCCTTGCATGCTTAATGCAAACTACTATTTGATTTCACTGTTGTTCTGTATGTTTATGGATATATTGTCCATATCTGTTTTTATACTAGTCTGGAATGGCATACTGCTGTATGTAGATTGTATACTGTGCGTATATGAACAGAACACCTGGATGACCTTTATTGTTTATATGCAGCATACATTGACTCTGTCCCAAATGGAACCCTAAGCCCTTGTGGTCTTCCTCTGAGTCCACACTTTCTAGACATAATGCCACTTTGACTGTCAGGTAGAAGTCTGCTGCAGAGATCAACAAAAGTGAGCACTGAAGGCACATAGTGGCCGCAAAGGGGGGCGTTCACAGGCAACATTAATAAAGCTAAAATGATGAATGGGACACCCTATGGTCTTCTGGACTTAACGGACATGTGCATGTGGCAGCCATTGTAAGTCCATAAGACCGCAAGTGCACATGAAGAATGCCATTAGGGACAGGGCCATTCGTTTTTCTTTGTAAACATTAAGGGTGTCCAATCCTGCTTCTGGAGATTCAACCCAAATCAAACACACCTGAACCAGCTAACCAAGGTCTTTACCCCCTATTTCCAGTGTGAAGGAACTGGAAGTGCTATTTCTTTTTGGATTCATTAAGTCAAGTAAAGTTTATAGCTAGGGTTTTATACAAATTGCTTCAAATTGCTATCATGTGCACAGACTGATGAACTGACACCTGTTCACACAGATAAAACCTGGAAACCAGGAGTTAAGGCCATATCCATATGATAAAATCTGATCAAATGTGCAGAGAGGCCCAGCCGGCTGCCATACAAATGTCCTCCAAAGTCACACCCTTAGATAACACTAACACAGAGGGGATGGAGAAGACCCAAGAGAACCTAAGGTGGCACTTAGTTGTTTTGCTCAACGCACACAGATGTACCTCTGCCAAATCAGACCCACAGTTTTAAAATGCAACTTTTATTCTCTGGGCATCAACCCATGCCTTGTGAGAAGATTCAATTGACCACGGATGCGCACACCGCCCTTAGCAATACAAACTTTGCCATACTAACTTCCACTTGGGGAACAAATCCATTCCCCCTGGATGGTTTATGTATGAGACATATCCATCCTGAAAAACACATGACAGCCTCAAATGCCCAGAAGAAAGTGGGTCAAAGCCAGAAATACCACCATCACGCAATGTATACATGTATATGCTGCGTGAGATGATTGCCCCTCCAGACTCCATAGGCTGGACAACCCTCAAAACCTGCACACCCAACCTACAGACTCCACCCAACTAAAACTGGGGTTCTTTTCATTGTAACAGGGTCTGATAGCATTGGCTTCAGTAGAAAGAATTTGTATCATTGAATAACAACATTCTATATTATAGCAAGGTGGGTGGAAATAACAAGAGAATAACAAGACCGAGTGTACAAAAGGCCCAGATGTTCTTGAATGTCCCAGATGATTCTGATGCACATTGTTACTGCAGCGTCCTGTGCTGAGGCAGAAAACTGACTTAGATGACAAATAAGGCTGCCTGCACATCTAGCAGATTATCAAGTTCCTGGATCAGGCCATGTGAAGAGAGCATTACCAACCACTGAATGAAGCTGGAATGGAATCTCTATCCACATCAGAGAATGCATTGAGGGGGCTTTCACACTCGCACTTTTGGTGCGCACCC